GTGGTAACCATCACACAAATGTCAAATCTACACCTGGCCTATAGAAAGAGAGACACCCCCAGAGCGCAGAAGTGCCGTGCCATTGCACGACCTTCGACGCATGAATTGCAAACAGGCGGTTCATCAAACTGAGGACCCACTGTGCACTAGAAGCCCACACTGCATACACAAAGATTTTCTTCTCGCTTTACATCCCAATTGCCGAACAGCTATGCCGCTCGCATCCTGAGCAGCTTTGCGGTCTGCGTCCAAGACAGCTGTGCAGGCCCGCATCCTAGATTGCGACTTAGAGCGCATCCTGGAAGAGCCGCAACCGAGGCACGTCTTGCAAACAAGTTCAGACCCTGAAGAGTTCTACAGCCCTCGAGCGGGCTTGCACACCCCACACCCTGAAAAGCTGCACAGCCCACGTCCTAGACGGCTTTCACAGCCCGCACCATACAGAGCTGCACAGCCCGCGTCCCAGAGTGTTGAGCTGTATAGTCCTCATCCTAGGACAGCTGAAGGTTAGCTACCCAAGATAACCTTTATCAAAAACATCAAGGTTGCTGTACTGTGCGGTAGTAGGAATGCCCGCAAGTTGCAGTACCCGGAGCACAATACTGCAAAACCCAAATCCTAAATCACACCCGCTTGACCTGAAACTCTCTTCTTAGGGCTTCAGCGGCTTAGAGCTTGGGGCTCGCGTCTACATCCCAAACTCATTTTGAGAACCGCCCCTTGGCAAAGGCATCGCTTCCGGGGATCGCTGTTCGCATGCGGAGCCCTTCAGAAGCTGCCTTATAGGAAGGCTGCAGAACCTTGTTCTGTGCGTGTAAGATGTAGGGCCGTGCATGAAAGCCAGTAACACGTGTTCATGTTCTGTTCGTCTCATCTTCTCCTAGCGTGAGTGAAACTAGCCAAGTACATTGGGCGACTAGCTTCGCAAGCAGGGCCTAGGAAGCTGGGCTTGAGGTTCGAGGATTCTAGGCTTTACGAGCTTAAGATTGAAGCAAGAGGGGGTAGGGCTCTGCTACTGAGCAGCGGGAGGTGGGGTTTTTAAGTCCAGTGCAGATTGGTGGGTTGCTACAATTGGCTGGGCGTTGACATTTCGCAGGTGGATGTACTGGGCACAGTGAAACTTTTCAATTCATGACAAGCAACATCCAGCCTTCAAATGCGGGGAAGATCATGCAAGCAGTTATCAATTGTCAGTGTATTGGGCAGTATCAACTCCATTCGCCAGGATGTTTCCTACTTAGTGTGAGCAGTGCTGTCATTGGTAACGGGTGGGGATGCAACCCCCAAGCCCAAGCTCACTGAGTGATGCTGGAGCACGTCACTAGGATCCAATTCCAGGCGAAGGCTCTGGAACTAGTCTTCTGCAGTGAAACCGCCCATGCCTCCAGCAGACACGCCATCAGCATCCAAGCTAATTTCTGACCCAACCCTCATCCTGATCATAGAAAGCACTCGGAACCACTTGAACGTTCACAATCCGTCACACTGAATAGCAATGATAACCTTTATCCGTGACCTCAAGAAAGACCATATAGCAGAGTAGGGGCCCTAACCCGGATCCTTGTTGCTGCTAATTTTCCATTCTACTTCCTCAAACAAAACAATTAAAAGGCATCGTATATCTAGATCTACTGGTTCAAAACTATGCTCAATACACTTCTTTGGAAGCTTCAATCCAGCAACCCCCGGAATAGCAGTGGCAGCAAGACAAACCAACATTCATCTAGTAGGCGTTAACAACCACTGCCATGCCCTAAAGCTGGTTGGCTTGCTCAGTGTTGAACCGAGCTTCCAGGGCGCAACTGTTGCAAATGGCAACGCTGTGCAAGCTGAGCTGTTTAACCTTCGAGCTTTGAACTACGACAATGCGCCCTTTTCAGGCCTGAAGTTGGACTTCCCCCTTATCATGGCGGCTACCCTTTGAATCATGATTACGAGATAAGGCTGTCACATGCATGGTCATGCTAAACTGTTGCGAAGGTCTTCAATTGTAGCTGCTCTCCTTGCTAGAGCCGTACTGAAGCCAGGGGAAGGGTAAGTATGGGGTCTACATGTGGTCAGGTTCTAAACTTCGCTAGTGCGCACGCTTAAATATAGGGCATTCAAAGCAAACTCTATGCTGCTCGCTCCACACAGGAAACGAAACTCGGACTTGCTGAAGAGACCAACGGCCCAAGCAGAGCCAATTCCAGTTCGAAGCTCGCGGGCCAACACAAATTCCTAATGCTCAAACGCTGACTGGGGTTGCACGGTTTGAATCCTGATTCTCAAGCTGCCATGTTGCATGAAGCCGCTTGTCGCATTATTCTCTAGTCTAAAGATCCGTATGGCACGATAGATCGGGCAGCTGCGAAGTCTGCTCCATCAAAGCCTCACGTAACAGTCTTTCCAAAGCTCATAGAGTACTGCAAGCACGGCAAGGACTGTTCTTTTATCCACGCCGCACCCCCAGAGAAACCTGAGAAATCAAAAATGAATTGCTGCGCCCTTCGCAGCGCGAAGGGCTGCTCTGCCACAAGCAACATCATATTCTTACAAGTCCTATTTCCTCCGATAACCCACGTGAAGCGCCTGAGCGTGGGCTGGGGTAAAATACCTTCTTCCCCCTATCTTGAAGACAGCCTTCCTGATCCAACAATCTGACGGGTCTTCAAACCTGTTAGCGCCGGTTCTTTGCTGTTTCCTTATCTTTGCACTTCGGGCACATACTCCTCTGGATTACAGCTACGTTGCCCAGAGTGCTGACCCTTTCCAAACCCGAAGCTCTAAAGCCAAGCTAATGCCCAATAACTCTGTCTGCTGCGCCTTAACCCAACAGTCCACACAGCATAATCTACCTGTGGGCTCCACAGCAGGGGCCTATCTCCCACAAATCTGAACACAAGAAATCTCAAAACCTGGGCTTGATGCCCTTCAGTGGCGTCGGGGTAGCGAGAGGCACGCTGTACATCTGTTGCCCTCTACGGCAGTGGTGAAACCTGCAGCAGGCTTTGTTAGGAGTTGCATGGCGACCAAATCCTTGGGATTATGTCAGGTTAAGGCTGTGGGGGCATGTGTTCCCTTCGGCCACTAGAAAATGTGGAATGCGTATGCTCAAGATTGTTTGGAAAGTCAGGCAAACCCCCTCCTCCTTGGCCTTATGCTGCTTTGCACGATACAATTCGCAGACATGATCTGTCAGGAGAGGTGGAAAAAGGAGGGCAGGATAACCGATTTCAGTTTGGAGTTGGGGTAATCTGGAGCTAAATAATTGGCGGCACTTGCTACATGCACGTGAGGGCAATACAGTTACAAAAATAAGTTGGTTAAGTGAAGCTGAGACTTTGGAATAGATGCTGTAGTGGTGAGCAGGAAGTGGAAGAATATAAGCTTCCTGCTAGTCCTTGTATGTTTAGCTTCATGAAGTGTCCAGATAATTTATTCCTTGAATCCCTATGACCGACTGGTAAGTCCTGGTAGAATGGGAGGCAAGGGATGCTTGGCTTGAAATGCCTCATGTAGGAGCCGAAATGCTCAGAATAGGGCTGCAGGGAATATTACAACATAGCTTCTGTAGCTTATACTGATGGGCTATTCGGGAATGACATTGGTGAGTATTCAGATTTTTGAAAGTTTTCGCGTGCAACGAAGAAGCTCAAGATCCGAGCTTTGGGATGGCAACGTCCACACTGACTCTCCCGTCTTTTGTGGCTTTCGGATTTCAAAGGCGCACTTCTGTGCCCTGCACCTGCCTTTCAGTGAACCCTAGGGCCTGAGAACCCACAAACTGCAGAACATGCCGGGTTGACTTTAGATGGAAAAACCAAAGACCCGAACTATTCAAGCTCTACACTCCAACTTGAAGTGCATGTCAAGCGCTGAAAGCATCACCAACTCTGGTTCTGAAACCCTAGATCAGATCTCTAGAAACCGTACAGGTCCATGCCTGCACCTGGCATAGGCTCAGGTCAGTGTGGACCCCTGACACCCTGAAGCCGCTGACGAAAACCTCAGCCGAGTGAAACCCGCCCCTCGCCCAAACCCCTGCCATTTCCTTGAAATTTCTTGCGATCCCTACACCTCCTCCTCCCACTCCCGGTCCCCGGACCCTACATCCTTGCCTTGTCTGGTCAATAAAAGACTTCTTCGGCGCTGCTTCGGGTCACTTCCGGGACATCGGGCTCCTTCAATGGCCAAGGCGTCGCAAACTTCCAGGGCTTAGAAACCGTGCCCGGGCCTCACCAAAGAAATGGTTGAGGGAATGTGCATAAAGGGGAAGTTCGAGCGGAATTTTAAAAGGTCTGGGGTCACGTGGGCTTCAACCTTTTCAAAAGCCAAGACGGGACTTGAAGTTTTGCTGTTTCAGAGGTCAGTATTGAGCATCAAGGTGCAACACCTCGCCAGTCGACAGATCTGTGTGAAAGGTAGGTACTGACAAAGAAGGGGAAGAAGCATCTTCTTGTCCACAGGCAGGGAACCCAACAAGAGTTCAGGCCGGGAACCCATCACAGGCCACTTGAAGGTCAGAATCGCATCAGTTTGGGGAAGTCTCAAATATTTGTCACTTCTCGGATGGCCTGTTTTAGATGACTAGGTTGGGTTATTCTCCTTGCATTTGTTATAACCTCAGGTATGGCTACAACGCGGGTCCCAGAACCCTAACCTCTCCACCTTTCCCCACCCGCAACAACAACAAACACCTTCATCCCAGCATCACAACACTTATCACTACAATCATCACCATCTTCGGTGTCAACATCAACACTTACGTCATCGCAACCATCAGGCACCCCTCACTACCCCTGAATGTGCGCAATAGAATTCCTACGCCGCAAAGCTCCCTTGAGCCTTGGATTGCCAAAAGTGATCAAGAATACGAACATCGCAACAACACGCATCATGGCAGCGAAGATAGTGGGACAACCTCCATACAAGCCAGCTCAGGTTTCCACGTTTCACCTACCTAGCCTAGAACCCCCTCCGATGCGCTGGGGATAGCTGGTAGTAGCCAACATCTTGTCCTCGCCCTCTGCCACGACTGCTTTTTCCTTGGACTGCCGGCGCGCCTCGTGCCTTGGGGGATAGGGTCGAAAGGAAACTCGGGGGCTCAGAAGGTCTTGCATTGGGGCTAGACCGATCGAATCAGATCCTGGAACTCCTCAGGCAAAGGGAAAGCATGTACCAGACTCAATTAATTTCGGAAGCTACGCAATTGCATTGGGATTTTTCGCGGGAAAGTGAGATAGCAAATCTCAATCCCTTCGTAAGTTAGTAGAGAATACAGGCGCGTGGCTTATGCTACCATGGCTTGTTGAAGTTCCAAACAGCCTCCTTGCCGCGCAGGCTCTTCGTCCAATCTGCGTTATATAGACACATCATCTGTTGCCGCATGATGATGGTAGGGCAGTGTTGCGGCAAATTTCAAGGCAGCAACATTCCCTACGAACAAAGCCATCGACCGCATCGAGGCTTCCAGAATAACTATCTGCAACACAATGTTCATCCCATGCATGTCTCATGTGCTGTCACGGAACCGGCTTACAAACATAAATCCCGAATGGCCTAAGCATGTTTAGTGGTAGGAGACTTTTGTGGAAAGCTTTCATGCACAGGCATGCTTCACTGGCTCAACACTTTTCCAAATGGTGTGGCATAACCATCTTGCAAGAAACTTTCAGGTGCTCCTCAAAACAAAGGTACCCTGACCAAGTTAAGGCTCCAAGCATGTCCCAACATGGGGAATATGCGGGGGGGGGGTCCCCGAAGGGGGGGATGCTTGTGGTCGTTTCTAGGAATATGAATGGGCACATTTTTTAATGCAGGCCACTCGAGGCACTTAAGCGGTCCTTGGTAGCCTTTGGGAGAGGCAGATTTCCGTAACGCTTTTGTGGAGATACTGGGGGACCATAGAGTGCGATAGAGAGACCTCCCAAAACTCAGAGTTTGTGCTTGGGGGTCAAGACCGGATTCCGGCGAAATCTTCTTTCGGGTTCTTGATGCTCAAAGATGTGTCCCCATGGCCGCAGTCTTGGACACTGAAGGTTGGACCACGTTTGGAATATAGAATGTAGCGCTAAAGCTGTCATTTTCCAAACTCACACACACATGCAGCTGGGTTCTCAAAATGGCAAATCCTGTTCAAAATGTCTCAATCAAATAGGGGATCTGCTGTAGTATTCTGACTTTGGAGAAGGCTTCGGCTTTCGCGGTCCCCACCCGCTGTTGGGGGGTTGAACCTAAAACCCTACAGTATTTAGGTACAGCTGAGGCGCACTGAGACATTAATGCGATCCAACTCCGCCAGTGACTTGTTGTAAAGGCTCTTGGCCTGGGTGCCAAGCATGTATATGTCCAATCTCTCTCTGACTCTCTCTCTCTTTCTCTCTTTCACTCTCTCACTCTCTCTATGTATGTGTTCTTTTTCTCCCTAGCGTTTGGTCACAGAAGGTTTTTTGCCCCACTTGTATCCACACAAGACTAGGCTTGTTCCACTCTTGCCGTTTCTGGCATCTTGAAACTTAGGCTCTGAAGCTACCATGAGAGATGCTCTGAGACTTGTTGCTTCCGTACGTGTACAGAGGATAGTTAGAGACTAGAAGTCGGTGCAGCAAGAGTGTCTGCAACACTGTAAGGAAATGCTGCAGCTGTACATTTTCCAACGCTAGCTTGGCGAGCCCTAGACTCTCTTCACTCATCTTGTTTTCCTTGCTGCTTGGTCGGTGCTCTACTTGCTACATGGCTAGGAACCTGCCAGATATGCATCGCCCTTGGGTTGTTTTGCTACTCACATGGCCACTGGCATCGCAAGGCATTTCCGATAGAAGATTCTCGATTTCAGGTAGAAGGCCTAGAAATGATCCCGCTTGCCAACCCTGCACCGATGAATGAACATGACCACGTCCGTTCTCTGGATGATCTCGGGTTCCCCAAGGAGTCCCTGCAAAGCCTAAACTGAAGCACTTGCCTCCGAACGATGGAATCTCCTGTTGTGCTGAGGATATGGCGGCTGCTGCCTTCTCTGCAAAGGTAGCGATTCGTTGCTGCTCGGCTGACAAAGTCTGCTGGTGCTGTTGCAGCTGCCTTGCGAGTGTGTAATAGATTACGGCTTCAGCTCTCAAGCTTTGGGCACTTGGGATTCAGATCAGTGCATAGGTATTTCAAGGTTCATGGTTTCGGGATTGGGGGAAAGAGATCAAGCAGTGATGTCTCTCATTGACTGTGCACCAGGGCTTCGTTCTCCACCTCTGGAGGGAACTGCCTTGATGAGTTTAGCCGCTGAGGAGTTAACGAGGCGTCATAGGGGTTAGGCTTTTTGGACTTGGCCTAGCTACCTCATCCCCAGGGAGAAGACTAAGAGAGCATCTACTTCTGAAGCTAGGTGGATAGAGCCAGTGAACCTGAGACCGTCTTGGAGGCATCGTTGTCTCGAAAACCCCCAAACCTTGTAGCGCTGTGAGGCGGGGGATTTTCAAGAACCGTCGTTGTTGAAGTAAGACCTTTGAGCTCACCCCCTGACTGAGAAGTATCAACCTTCCCATGTGATACCCACTGAATTGAGATGTTTAACAAACCCTGTTGCAGCAACTTCGCTAAATACTCTAGATGCTTCAGAGGTTTAGGGCTGTCGCAAGCTCTGATTTGCGATCACAACATTAGCACGTACACTTTGGTCACGTGAGATGAAAAGTGAGGTCAGCGCAGGGCCTAGGGGGCCAAGAATTCCCCTACATCCGCTCGATTGTACCTACAACCACAAATCAAGCAACTCGGGCACAAAGGTGCAGGAACCCAGGGCTACTCGTATTGCTCTTGGTGTTGTATGTGACCTCTGAGTTGAAGCTGTAAAGAAAAAGCTGTATGCGCACGATGGATGTTGCGCCTTTCTGTTCGAAAGGTCAAAACCCCACAGCTTAAAAAGCAACATCTCAAAAAATGCAGAACAAGTAGTGTCAGCCACTGGCATGCAAGTGCTGAGACAACCTGACTTGAGATTCATACAGATTGTACCTACACATTTCTTCTAACTGAGTTGCTGGCACTGCTGTGGTTCTTGGATCCAGGAACCCGAGGCGTTCAATCCCAAAGACTAAGCCCTAAAGCCCAAGCTCCGTATCCCAGTAGCCCCTGAGAAACGAAACCGCCTGAAGATGGGCTCATAGCGCTTAATCAGCGCATCACCCAGCTTGTGCTTCAATTCCTGGCTGCAGGGTTCAGGGGCTAAGGGCGGAGGGTGGGGGGAAGAGTTCTGCACAGGAAAGGTGAGGCAAGCATATTGATGTGGGATGCCTGGGCACTGGGGATGACACAAACGGCCTTCAAACGTTGAAAGCGACTGGGGCCAAGCTCAGAATAGCTGAATGCTGGCTGACGACGTGACACATCTCTGCTCTCGTGCAACTCCTCCATGGCACCTGCAAGTGTCCTGCAAATGTATTCCGCAACCGACCATGTTCGATGCGCGCCCTGGAACTCTGCTTGGGCAAGTTGCCGCGTCCGCGATCCACACAGATTGTAAGCACAGTAACTCTGCTTGCCTTGCATCAAGGTAAATGGTGACTTCCTTCTTAGACAATAAAGTCCAAGACCCAAAGCCAAAACTTGCAAACTCTAAGCTCCTAAACTCCAAGACTTATAGATTTTTCAAACTGCCCTTGACAGCAAGTAGGCGCCTCGAGAGCCGCTTTGGCATCCTGCAAATGTGGACTGGCTTTGACACGTGGATCCTAACTGTAGAAAAGGGCTTTGGGGTGCAGGGTGTCAAGAGTACATGGCACAAGTATGCTGATTTCTCCTTCTTCTGCAGCTGCCGAGATTTTTAACATGGCTGCCTTCTTGAGACAATGATGCGGGTAAAGAATGCCAACCTTGTTACAACAAAACCTGATTCTGTCAACCTTGACGACCTCGTCATCATCATGGTCAATCACCAGAAGAAAGAGCAGCAGCAGCTGTTGTGGCAGGAAGGGGAGGCGTGGGAGCAGCTTGCTCAACTTACAGTACCCATGAACTTACAGGACAAAAGCCGTTCTTACAATCATACAAGAATAGTGACAAAAGGCCATCTTTGATGGCTCGTCCCACTGAAGTCCATCCTCTCGAGCCACAGCCCGCCTCGTATTCGCGCAGGCTCTCGGCATACTCCTGTTCTCTGCGATCTCGCTCCTGTCCCAGCAAACAGACCCTGATACATTGAGTGAATCCAGTCACAAAAAAATTTGTATATGTATGTTTGCATTTATCGTTTCAAGCCTCACAGTGTTGAAGTGCTGACACTGCAGAAACATAGAACAAGAACAGATAGCAGAGTTGGATCCTTGTCACTTCAGTTTTTGATGAATAGTGTTCTGAGTGCTACAACGACAAAAGGAGAATGTCAAACACGCCTTGGAGTCTGCAACTGCATCCAAGTCCCAACCGTATTTATGTGTATGAACATATATTTACCTGGATGGCACCATTGCATGTGCTTATGTGCAAAATCATTGTGCACGCCTGTGCAACCTTTGCTAAGCGGCTATCCTGCAAAGGACGAGCCACATTTCTGGCCTACGCGTATATGTGCTTGCTGAATTGGTCTATCCCTGTAACCATTGATGTCATAAAGCGCACACCAGTCAGCCTGGCGACACCGCAACACCTTGGCTCGGGCAGGCGTCTCAGGTCATACTTCCAAAATTGAGATCCCAACAAGGCTACATGTCCCAGAAAAACTTAGAAAAGTCACAGTATCATAATAGTTTAGAAGGACCCTTCCAGATGTGGGCCCGTAGCACCCGAGACTAGCCTTTGCAGTGTCGCGTTTGAGGGCTCCATGTTTGTGCGGGGGAAGTTCATTGCACAATTCACACCGAACCAAGTCTTGGCTTGTCACAATTCTCCTCTTGGGAATGAATGCTGGAATTCATGCCGTTCATGTCCTGACCTGGGCTTGTGATTCTGCCCTATTACGGTGAGGGGCATGAATTTTTAAGAATAATTCAGAATAAAATGGAAAGGGAATTGAAAATCAAAGGGTAACCGGGATTGTATGGCGATTTATGGCGAGAAAATGACGGCGCTAGCTGTGCTCATGAGAGCATTGCTCGACCATGCGAGTACTCGCCACAATGAGGGCGAGGGCGGTAGTCGTGCCAGTGGCGATCGTCGTTCAGTGCGTCGTGACTATCATACAGGAGCTGATCAACATTAGAGCCCTCTATAGGACTCCACCAACTGTCGCGCTTGGGCTATTATTCTTACTTACTGGTGTTTAGTAGGGAGGAAGAAATATGGTACATCGTGATTATGTTAACTACCCAAAACAGGCGCAGCCAGGAGGTTCTTAAGAAACCCGCGAAGCAGGAGAGGAGTGCCCTGAGGGCTGCGCAACAAGGGGCAATCCTGTGTGCCAAGTCGAACAATCCAGCGGTTTGTGTCCGGTGTGGGGGTGCCGGGAGCCTTTGCCCAAGCATGTATAGACCTTGCAAGAGGAGTACGCTGGAGCAGGCTTTATGGACTAGAGGACTCCTCCCAAAACTGCTCAGGCCCGGCCAATCACTTAAGGACATTCGTGTCACTGGTCTGTGGGAAGATGGCGGGTGATTCAAGACCCCACAGTGTCTTATGCGACAGATGGGTAGCCTGGCAGCACCCGGGATGAGCGATGCTGGGCACTCAAGCCTTCTTTACAAACATTAGAATAAAGAAAGGTCTATTCTGTTTCTTTTCCGTCCCATCAACTGGGGAACTTTCCAGCCGTTTGCACTGAATATATAGTAGATGGCTGTGAAACATGCGGTCCTTTGACGGGTATACTGGCACTTTTTATACTGTAAGCAGCAAAATTCCTAAAGCAAGTACTGCGAGTGGTGCCATGAAGGAGAAATCTGGCATGAAACCCCCACGCCGCACGTTGCCTTGCACAGTGCTTCTTCAATTAGGGCCCTCGAGAGGATCCAAACAATACCGCATGTTCAAGGAATAACAGCATCCATTTCATGGGCATGTGCTTTTAGATCCCTGTTCCCTAGTAACTCCCAAACCCTGACCTCTACCAGTCCTACTCATTCAGCCAAACCTTTTTTGGATTGTGGGAAAACGTTCATGTTTAGAAGGGGAATCCATACAGACCCTGCGGTATCTTCATACAGTACCCACCAAAAGACGCCCTGTAAACCCCGAACCCTACCTCTAACCCCCAAACCTACAGCCCTAAATCCAAGCCTTACCACAACCATAAAGCTCAGACCCTACAACCCGACAAGCTTCTACATGCCAAGGCACCCTGACTGTTGCGCGTGAGAGGCCGTCCTGCTGGTCTCGATCCAGGCGCACCTGCTGTCTGGGGCTTATCTGACGAAGTAGGCCGCATTTGAGATATAGAGCATGCTGGCATGTAAGTGGGGCCACGGCTTGTATGGATTTGAAGCTTATTTGGGTCTGTTAGACTTCAGTCAGGGAAATTCAAGGGGATGTCCCGTGCGGATACGCTAGGACGCAGTTAGTGGACTTCCACCAGGCTTTGACGAAGTTAATCGAAGGCAGAAAGGCTTTGACGAACTTGCTCGGAGGGCCGCGGGCGTTTGCGAACCGAGGCCATCAACAGTCTTCCATTGAAGCATGAAGCAGGCGCCCTTAGTCGAAGGCCTGGGGACTGGGCATGGCTTAGACATGCTTTGTCGAAGGGGCATGGCCCATAATCCCTTTGCGCCGTCTCCCTTACTTTGGCTGTGTTTTTTGTCATATGTATTTCAAGCAGTATTTAAGCTCTCACTATATCTCCCCTATCTCGCTCTATACATCCCTACAAATCACGATAAAGCCCTCATATCCCCTCACAACATTAAACCCTACTCCCTAAACCCTACACCCTATACACCTAAACCCTACACCGCAAACGCTACACCCTCAACCCTACACCCTACATCCTAAACCCTCAACCCAACAAACCAAAAACCCTAAACTCTGTAAACCCCTAAACCTTAACCCTACAATGCGCCCTGCTGCCTTGTGGGCTCCGTAGGCCAAGCGAGTTTCAATGCCTCGAAGCTCCGCCTTGGCCTGCACCGGCTCGCTCAAAGTTTAGGGTTCAGGGTTTAGTTTTAAGGGTTTGGGATTTCGGGTTTAGGGTTTAGGGTGTAGTTTAAAGGGTTTAGGTTTAAGGGTTTAGGGTTCAGGGGGCTTAGGGTTTAGGTTTAAAGGTTTAGGGTTTTAGGTGCTAGTCTCTCTACATGCGCATGCATGTACATATGTATATATGTATGTGTATATATATATATACATGTAGATGTAGAGGGTTTAGGCTTTCCTTTTTGGTGTATAGGGTCTACAACATAGGATCTAACAATTCAGAAGGTTTGGGCTTGAGGGTTGCCCCTCTGAAGGGTTTCCCCCATACGGCCCAAACATTGGTCTTATGTGAACCCATAAACCCTAAACTTTCTGGTTCTTAGTAGGGCCGTAGGGAATATGGGAATTTAGTATCTAGCAATTATCTAGGGATCATATTCCTTCTTCTTATTCCTGCTAGGAATCAGCTTGTACACCCTGACCGTTTGATTACCTTGACAGGATCCTCAAATGAGGATCAAGGGCGGCTTAGGCTTTGAACTTATGATGTGTTTAGAATTTGTAGGTGTTGGGCTTCAAGGCCAAGAAGTTTAGGGCTATAGGTTTTTGAGGCCTAGGGTTGAAGGTTTAGGAGTGAAGTTTTGGCCTTTAGGTCTCGGGGTGTGCAAAAAGGTGTTGAAGGACTAGCAAAGTTTCATTGCACTCCTAAAATCCGAATGCTGAGGCTTTCGGAGAAGCTGTTGCTCTGAAGGAACTTGCGTCTGAAAGTCAGACGATCCAGCCAGGCAAGACCTCTAATCTGCAGAACCTGAATGTTCAGAAAATGGCGCCAAAGAATCTAAGACAATGCTAAGTGTCATATTGGACACAGAACTCCATGTAAGTTTGGTGAAGGGCAGGGAGGTCAACCCTGACTGTGGCTCGGGGCTTGCAAGTCGCAGTCTTGTATTCCAGTCTGAGGTAGATGTGAACGATTCCTACAACTGTGTCCAAAGGGCACCATAACAAGACAAGCTTATCAACTTTTGCGCTTCCAAAACTAGGCGGGTGAAGGAGGTAAGCTAAAATACTCCAAGCTCTTGTGGGGCCCCAGGCCCACTCACACTAAACCCCACACCGAGCCCCCTCATTGAACTTGGGGAGCCTTGGGCAAAAGAAGGCGCTAAAACCAGCAGAGCTCCGTTAAAAATGACTCTATGTATGACGGTCCAATATACGCCAACATATACCCTAGCATATATCCCAATATTTATCCCAATATATATATTCAAATATAGACCCCAGCAATCATAAAACCCAACAAAGACCCCAATATATACCTAATCTTAACCATAAAGTGTACCACACATTAATTCCGGGAGGGTAACTCATGGGTACTTTGACCGATGCCATGGCCTGGATATCTAGAGTTCTGCTCAGGGATGACGGTTTTAGGAGTTAGGAGACCAAGTAACTGGAACAGGGCCATTGGGTACATTATAGGCCGTAGTGATAACATGTAGGGTTATTGGGAACAATAATGTAGACCCCCAATTAATAACCCCCCTCCCCTTAATAGTGACTATACCAGGGATCCTAATTTTTAGGCCCTTAGAAGGAGGAGGTTTATTAACGGGTCGACATCATTAGTAATCAATCCAGCTTCTACCTGTCACACCAGCAACTTGACCAGCCTGACTGTGCTGTGAAGCTGCGGCGGAGAATTCACGGACAACCACCTGCCAATGCAACCATAACTTCCAGAAAGCTTCTTCGGTGTAGCTTCCTAGAGCAGTAACATGCCCGGGAGAAACTGTTTTGGTGCAATTTCCAACACTTGGGGGCAAAACATTCCACGAATATGAGGGAGTTTTTCAGGCTCCCAGAGCAGTATTTAATCCGAGGCTCCCTTTCACGACCCCATTCAAAGTGGAAACTAGCTCGCACATGCGCAGGCCATCAAAGTTGCGTTTTATGATCTTTTGACGGCCGCCTTGTCAACACAGCGAACACAGCAGGACCGGGTTTTTGGCAACCCAGAAACGGGGGTTTCCCAAAAGTAGGGGTACGTTTTAAGGGTCCCTATAATTAATATGAAACATACTATGTT